TAAGGAATATTTTATCCTCCGTTTGCGACCTTGCCCATCGTTTCGGCTACCTTTAATCCCCAACACAGCAGCAGTAAGGGGCTCAGCGCGCAACATATAACGGGACACGGGTAATTCCCGCGGGGGACGCTAGTGCATAAACACGGGTAATTCCCGGGCAATTCCGAATGGTGACCGCGAGTCCCCCTTACTGCTGCTTGGTTTTTAGATTCATGTTTGGCGGGCTTTTTGACGTCCAACCAGAACACGTCAACATTCATGAATAATTAATTTTTGTTTTCTCAAAAGTGAATACGTTTTTCTCTGAAACGAGAAAGACAAAGTCCATCATGTTGTCGCTATCATACCTAACACGTGTAGTATTCAAAGGATCTGATGTTGAGCCTTGCTTGGTCTTAGAGAAAGCTCCAATACCAGACATAGAAGATGGGGAAATCCTAGGAAAAATATTGTTAGCTACTATCTGTGGCTCTGACATCCACACCATTGAGGGCAGAAGAAAAGAGGCTGTTCCTAGGTATGTGAATTCCTTATTAATCTAGTGCATATATGAACATAAGCATTACTCAACAAGTATTTAAAGCAGGAGTTGCTATCAAGTCTACCTATCCTTCGCCTCAGCCTTCACCTTGAAGCCTTCCCCATGCCTACCTTCCAAAGTAATTGGCTAACAAGTCTATACCCTCATCCTGCTTTCAATGGTATTTGTAGATACAAGGCAGGAGGGATAATAAGCCACTCTCCAAGTATTGGGATGACAGTGTATAGTCAAAATATTATTGGTTTTATAATATGTTATTATCATGTTTTGTAATTTTAGTGTGCTTGGTCATGAGGGAGTCATTACAGTTGTTAAACATAAACGTCCAGATAGTGACCTTAAGCCTGGCGACCGACTAACATTTCACATTGCTGACTGCTGCTATGACTGTGATTTTTGTGCTGAGGGCTTGCATCAAAAATGTACTTCATTGTTCAAGGTATGTTATATATTCATAATAAATAACAAAAAAAAAAAGCAATGTTAATGTTTTTTTTAATTTTTTGATGTCAACAGTATGGTCATGCATCCTTATCAGATGGAACTGGATCAAATGGTTGCTATGCAACACACTTGGTGATAAGAAAGGGTACCCATGTTGCTAAGATACCACCTGCCATATCCAACAAACTGGCGTCACCTTTGAACTGTGCCTTAGCAACCATGGTGTGTGCAACAGAGGAAATAATACAAACACAAAGCAAAGGGACTAAAAGAGTAAAAAGAGCTATGATTCAGGTATGCATTTATTTTCAAAACAACCCTAAGTAATGTGCATATTAATGTTTTTCATGGAGAAAAATGTTACCCCGCTGCACTCTACTGAACTACAGAATTTTGTCTTGAAAAAGTATTTTGTTTGCTCATAGCAGGATGTTATTTTATAGTCTTCCATTATTTCTTACAAACCCCTTGCTTCATTATCTATGTTGATATTAATATTATAAGTAATATTTATTACTCTTCCAGGGTGCAGGATTGTTGGGTGTTTATGGTTGTGTCCTGCTCAAAGAAGCTGGTTATGACCAAGTGTACTGCTCTGACATTGATTCTAGAAGACTGGAAACTGTAATAAAGTTTGGTGCTATTCCTGTTTTATCAGGTATTGTGTTCTGACACACCTTTACAGGGTTTTTATTAAGGGTCAGGGATCAGAGAATGCTCTGGCAACGGAGCAGAATTCTCCAACTTAAAATACCATTTTAATGGTAGTTAAAATAGCTTAGTTATTTGTAAAATGTTCACTTGGTCCCCTGGGCCCGGTTGCATAAAGCTCTCTTAAGATAAGAGCATCCGTAAGTATTGTTCCAAAACAATAGGCCATTGTACTAAGACAATACTTACGAGTGTCTTTAAGCTTTTTTATCTAAGAGAGCTTTATGCAACTGGGCCCAGGACTCTCCCGCAGTTCATTATCTTCAACTATTATTTCAAAATTTAATAAAAACCCTGCCTTTGTTTGCTAACTGTGCCAACACTATGCCTCAATTATGCTTCATATTAACAATAAACATTTTTTAATAGGAGAATCTGGTGTTGATTTCCCTGAAGACAATTCAGTTGATGTAGTTATTGAGGTAGGTTGGATGTAGTTATTGAGGTAGGTCGAACTAATCCCCTATCTTTGCTTAGTAAAATATCTCTTAGTCCCTATATACAACATGGCAGATTGGTGGCCAATGTGTTAGTCATTTCATTATCATGGCATGCCATTCATTGTCAGCCACAGTATTTCACTCATACCAATCAAGTGCATAGTATCTATTTACCTACATCACCCACAGAGGAAGATTGGAATTTCCAAGGGGTGGTACCCTGCAATCATAGGTCCTTTTCTACTCAAGGGGTGGAGGGTCTGAGGACGATTACTCCAAGATTGGGAAGGACAAGGGGCCTAGCATAGGTTCCATAAACTCTACTCTTTTGGGAAGATATGAATATTATCTGGAACTGTAATATGACTATTGATTTGTATTTTCCAAATCGTTTTACTCTTTTTCATGCTACTCCTAAATTCCTAAAATTGGAATTTCAAAAATCTATTTTTAAATACACTTTAAAGATCCTTGTAAAAAGAAGAGACATAAAGAGCTTGTCATACTCTTTGAAAATCCTAAATGTAGTTGTGATGTGGCAGTCAGGGATATATAAAAATAATCAAACACTAAGAGAAAATGAAAAAATATCACTGATTCCAATATTTTTAATATTCCTTAAATACCCAGAGAATCACTTTAAAAATCTTCCACAAACACTGATTGCTACCCACTGTATATTTGTGTTTTTCTACCAGGTTTGTGGCCAGAGAAGTGTGGTAAGTGAAGGAATGAAAAAGATAAGAATTGGTGGAACTTATATTCTTATTGGAATGGTTCACCCAGACAGCAAACTAGACATGTTGACAGGAGAGCAAATCATACGGAAATGTCTCACTATTAAAGGTAAAAAATCATCATTTTATTAATAATATATTGTTTAAAAAGTCTTAACATTAAATATAAATTTTATAAGTAAAAATCATACATTCTGTAGATTAAAAGTAAATACTAAATGATTAAATTTAAATTTGTTTTAAAAACAATTATCATTTGTTGTCAAATTTTTTAAAATAATCTTCAGTTTTGATAATATTTGTTTTTGAATCTATAAAGGTTTTCATAATTATGGTCCTTCACATCTTGACAAGGCTGTGTCATTGTTGGCCAATACTGCTAATAAATACCCATATGAGGAGTTACTCAGCCTTTCATTTCCTTTGGCGGACATTAACAATGCTGTTGCCATGGCTACAAAGCAGACCTATCTCCGTGTTTGTATTGAGCCTTGACTACCAATATTTTTCACCTCAAGGGGACCAGAATTCAAAATGAATTTAGTTTAAAAGAGAAAAATCAAAGGCAATTTTTTCAATGAACTTTTTTTTAATAGAAATCCATTAATAATATGTATGATTTCGAATGTTTAACTATAGATTGAATGAAATTTTAAAAAGCTTTAAATTTAGGATATTTGATTAAAATTAATATAAACATAGACGTAAATTGAATATAGATATTATATTTCTTTAGTTGTTTTTTGTGCTAGTAGTAAAAGATAAAATGAAAATCTACTTTTGTATTGTGATCATTTCGATAATATTTTTGACATTTATGATAATTTCTGTATATTTATGATTCATGTTTTACACCATCAATAATTGATTTGTACTTAACGACTATTGTACATGCAACTGAATAATGTAAAAATCTATTTTTAGAACCATTATTTTTAATGATAAATAATTATATTATAAAAATAATCAAGCTAAAAAATTGTCACAGTATTATCATTTATAATTTTTAGGGATTTTCAGGGCTGTTTCTTGTAATCTTGCATTATATTCACACCCTCTTAACGCTTATAAGAGTATACAGGAAGCTCTTCTCGCAGCAGAACTAACAGGGGTCACTTTCTGTTCGGTTGAAAGGATATCCTTTCATTTGATACCTTAGGAAATGCCCACATCATACTAATATGTTAACTATGTGTAACCGGCGGCAAGGCGCTCAGCTATGAATCAGATTGCAAGTGGTTTTGACAAAAGAATTTATTGAAAAATT